GCACTCAAGCAAATTCGGGAAGTGTCTATTTGTTTTCCGTTCATCATTTAATTACTGAGCCCAATCACAAATTTATTCTTAAATTGTGTGTATGGAACATGTGTAAATAATTAACATGAAAATGAGGCCATTCGGGTCAGCCAGAGAGTTGAAAGATATATAGAAGCAAATTATAGTGTGACAACAGCTAAATGGTCTTTTAATTAGGGACTGCTTATTATTTATTGTACACGGGGGGGGGGGATTGAGGAGAAACTGGGGGAGCCTTTAAATTTTTTTAAACCTGAAAGGGGGGCATGGATCTTGACCTGAGTCCAAGAGTAACAGTAGTGCCAGTAGTAATACAGAGAGACGAAAGAAGGGGGGAATTGAAAAGATTTACTAGTTTGAAAAAAAACATTAGTAGTTTTAAAAATGTATCACAAAACAACTTAACAACAAATAACAATGTTTATAAATGGAAGCCAAATAAATAGTTTTTATGTTCATGTAATAGACAATTCTCATTACAGACTAATTTTTTATCTTAGCAAAAAAGTATTAATAGTCGCGGAAAGAGGGTGGGAAAGGGTGGGGGGGGGGGTATGGATCACGTTTCACAACGAAAAAAAAGCCGTTTCACGATTCACGTGTCTTAAAAAAGCAACTTTTGACGGAAAAATTCTCATAAAATAATATAATAATAATAAGTTTATTAATTAATGCATGGTACAGTATCTACGCTTTAAGTTCTCTCATTTCTCTACCTGTCAGTTAAAAACTACATCATAACTTACAACTTTGAGTGGCGAGAATGTACGACGACCTCCGCGCGTGTCCTCAGCGTGAGGAACCTTGTCCTCAGCGTGAAGAATCTTGTCCTCAGCCGTGAGGAACCTTGTCCTCAGCGTGAGGAACCTTGTCCTCAGCGTGAGGAACCTTGTCCTCAGCGTGAGGAACCTTGTCCTCAGCGTGAGAAACCTTGTCCTCAGCGTCAGCCACCTTGTCCGCAGCGTCAAGAGCCTTGTCCTCAGCGTCAGGAACCTTAACTTGTCCTCAGCGTCAGGAACCTTGTCCTCAGCGTCAGGAACCTTGTTCTCAGCGTCAGGAACCTTGTCCTCAGCGTCAGGAACTTCGCGAAAGGCCTCCGAAGTTTTCACTTTTGTGCAATCGAGTGAGATCGGCATATAAATTTGATTATCGCGTATCATATTTATTATAATAATCACTATAATAATCACAGTTCACGAACCAGGCATCCTTAATTCTCATTTCACCGGGCATTTTTATCGACAATCACGCCTCACGGCTGTAGAACAAATCACATTTCGCGACACTAAAATCAAGCATTTCACATTTCACGTGAACAAATATTGACCATTCACGGCTCACGAAAATACCTTTCCCTCCCTCCGGAAAGTGCATACTAAAATTAGTAAAATCGCGAATTTTGGTTGTGAAATGTTGTAAAATGTGGAAAATATAGCCTTCCAAAGTTTGCAAATTTGGTATACTTTTGTATTGCGTGCGGGAATTGCTACCGGCGCACGCAATACAAAAATATACAAAATTTTCACACTTTGGAAGGCTGTATTTTCCACATTTTACAACATTTCGCAACCAAAATTTGCAATTTTACAAATTTTAGTATGCTCTTTCCGGCCGGAATATACTTTTTTGCTAAGATAAAAAAGTCTATAATGGGAATTGTCTATTGTTCCCCATTATCTATTTTTGTTTCTCTAAATAAAGAGCTAGAGTCGGGGAGGGACCAAAATTTATATTCTTGTTTTGCCTGTTGGAGGGGGCTTTGAAAATTCTACTTGTCTTAAGAGGAGGGCAACGAAAAATATTATAACTGTAGGGCTGCTCATATTTACCCATGTACAATAAATAATGAGGGGTCCCTTATATAGCCAAAGATGAAGACAAAATTATACTTGACTTTAAACAAAAAGTTAAATTCTCAAATTCTTTCATATACATTAATCATTGCATAGTATGTAGTCTAGCCACATATTTAAACTACATATTTAAACCTTCAATCACGACATCGCAATCTGTAGCAAATTTATCATCAGAACTACAGTATTCTCCAAGGGCACAGTCGCAGAGTCGCTGTTAACGATACAGGACTCACCAATGCAACTGAATCGCCATACATTGTCTTCACGGGATATCCGGCAGCAATAGCCAAAACAGTGCGAGCCAAGGTTGAACACTTTTTGTAACTCTGTTCCGGTATCCGTTTAGTAGCCTGCGAACAGGCTTTTTGCTTCGTTGCTCAGTTGCTGGTGGTCAAAATGTTGTAAACAAAGTTTGTTTTATTTATATACTGAAGAGATCCGAAATCTTTCAACTTTTTCTCTGGGTCTGTTGGATAATCGAGCAAGTTACTGAAGTTTATATTTGATATGGACGACTTTTATACCCGCTATCTTCGAGTGTGCAATGAATGCCTTGTGTCTCCACTGGAATGCGTTATATCTCAACTGCAACGTCGAACAGAGGACGATACAAGAATACTTGACCTCTCATCTTACAACTTTACCCCTGATGACTGCAATGCACTTGCTAAAACGTTATCATACGATACTTATTTTAAAGAAGTTCGTTTTAACGACTGCTTATTAAGTGAAGATGCTTCCAAAATGCTTTTATATGGCTTGCTTCGCAGTCGTTCGCTGGAAACAATCGACCTCAAAGGCAACAATTTACGTTGCTCCGGCGCCGACGCTGTTGGTATATTTCTCAAGAAAAACACATCGGTCCGTTGTCTACGCTTGGATTGGAATTCTCTGGGTTTGTGGGGTACTGGTGTGGGTGCTTTAGCTGAGGGGCTGGCTGTCAATCAAACTGTGGTGTTACTAGACTTGAGAAATAATCAGATATCACATGATGGGGCAACAGAATTGGCTTCATCTCTCAAGAGAAATTCAACATTGAAGGTGTTGGACTTGCGTTGGAATAATGCTGGTTTACTTGGAGGACGTGCATTTCTTGCAGCATTGCAGTATAATAAATCATTAACCTTGTTAGAGTTACAAGGTATTGTAAGAACGAAGTGACTATACAGCCGGCTACTTATGCACTAGTCACTTGAAAC